CCTCTCCTCCCCCCGCACCATCTCCGACTTTAGTGGATGATTCCCTAGGCTCCAGATCCTGCCTGACTCCTGTCCAGCTGTCCCGAATTAAGGCCTGACTTATCTAAATGCCCATGCCTCAGTTTCCCCATCTACAGAACAGGGCTCTTGTTTGGAACTGTGCTCGCTCGCCACAGGCTCACTAAGTGCTAGTTTCGCAAATACTCAGTGGGACCCACCGGGTTTTCCAAGGCTGCACTAGGCTCTGAGCCAGGTTTTCTTTCGGCTGTGGCTTAGTCCAGCCCTCCAAGCTTCCTGCCCCCAGGATCTTCAGGTATCTGAACCCTATACTCTGGGTAGTTGTAGACAGGGCTTTGGCACAACATATGGTGGCGATGGTGGTCATGGTGGTAGAAAACAGTAGGGTTTAACTTCTGTGGGAATGTAAAATTACCTTACACTAAAAATTTTCCAAACTCCAAATCCCAAACCATCCCGCGAGATTTGATCCGGGATGCTAACCTCACTCTCCAGTAACTGATCACCCTCCCACACACAGCACTTCCCTGGAGGGTTTCTCCCTGTTGCCCTACACAAATCCTTAGATCCGGTACAAAGGGACCAGTGTTAACGCAGTGGTTGGATTTTCCGAGCTCTGTGACTTTTTCCATGCTGCTGTCCTTTCTTTTTATTTTATTTAAATTCAGTTAATTTACATGTAATGTATTACTTGCTTCAGGGGCACAGGTCTGTGATTCATCAGTCTTATACCCAGTGCTCATTACAACACATACTCTCCCCAGTGTCCCTCACCCCTCCTCCCAGCAACCCTCAGTTTTTTCCTGTGATTAAGCTCCTGTCCTTTCTGTGTGAGATGCCATTCTTGGCCTTTTTCCACTTCTAAAATTCTACCCTGTCAGTTGGAATTAATATCATAGAGGCCTAATTGAGGTTAAAACAATCGGGATGATGGGGAATTGCCAGAAAGTGGCAGGCAGGACAGGGTTGTGATAAAGAACAGGGCTCTTACTGTGATGAAGAAATCAGGCAACCTTGGATTGCTTCTCCACGTAGCAACAGAGTGGCTATTTTCAGATTTCTTAACCTGTCTGTTAAGTGGGGAGGACAGCAGGATAACAGGGCTGCTGTGAGGATTATATGGGAGTGCGTTTGGCCCAGAGCTCCAAACACAGGAAACTGGCGGAAGTAGTAACAATGCTAGTAGTTGGATGATGCGTGACCTTCAAGTAATAATGATCTCCTTTGTCTCTTCATATTTGTTTTCTCTCTCTTTTTTTTTAAGATTTTATTTATTTATTTATTTGACAGAGAGCAAGAGAGGGAACACAAGCCGGGGGAGCGGGAGAGGGAGAAGCAGGCTTCCCGGGGAGCAGGCAGCCCGATGCGGGGCTCGATCCCAGGACCCTGGGATCATGACCTGAGCTGAAGGCAGATGCTTAACGACTGAGCCACCCAGGAGCCCATTGTTTTCTCTCTTTAGCAACTGTGACTTATGGCCCTCCAGATAGCAATACAGTTTTCTGCTAATATGGAAAATACAAGGCGCCTGGGTGGCTCAGTTGGTTAAGCCTCTGCCTTCGTCTGAGGTCACAATCCCAGGGTCCTGGGATGGAGTCCCAAATTGAGCTCCCTGCTCAGCAGGGAGTCTGCTTCTCCCTCTGCTCGCCGCCCCCCCCACGTGTGTGTGTGTGTATGTGTGTGTGTGTGTTTGTGTGTGTGTTTCGCAAAAATAAAATATTTATTTTAAAAAAAAGATTTTATTTATTTATTTCACAGAGAGAGAGAGAGACAGCGAAAGCAGGAACACAAGCAGGGGGAGTGGGAGAGGGAGAAGCAGGCCTCCCGCCGAGCAGGGAGCCCAATGCGGGGCTCGATCCCAGGACCCTGGGACTGTGACCTCAGACGAAGGCAGAGGCTTAACGACTGAGCCACCCAGGCGCCCCAATAAATAAAATCTTAAAAAAAAGAAAAGAAAATGCATGTAACTGGGTTTTCAAAGCACAGCGTCGAACTTAAAATATTACCGGGAAATCTGGAGTAGTTGAACCTGCTGGGAATCACAGAGGCCAAACTGCCGGAGGGGTATATCAGAGAATATCAAAGAGAAAATGAAGCCTTCAAAAAGGCCATCATCAGGCCTTATGTCCAGCCTCTTCTTCATAACCAAAGCAGTACCTGTGGGGTTCAATTGGCCAGGAGACCACATTAGAGAAGCAGTGTGGCAGTACCTAGGTGAACACCCAGAAAAACTTTGGAAAGCCTTGCAGCTGTAAATGACAGCCCAGCTCCAAACAACATCAACACTAAGGGAAATCACTGACTAATGCTCCAGCCACAGACGAGGTGGCCTGGCACCAGGAACTCGGGCCCTGTGAAGTTGACTCTGGCATCTCTCTGGGGGTTACTCTCTGCATTGTTTTCCTTCAGACCGGACTGATCCTCCGGCCTACTCTTCCAGAAGGGGCAACTTAACACTACACAAAACTGAGCTTCTCCTGCTGGTACTTGTTTGCCTGACTTAGGTCATGCTGATGCAGTCGGGGAGGCAAAGAAAGAGACACAGGAGTGGGATGTAGTGGTTTTGGATAAAGACAACAGACGTCCACTGTGGTCACCGGAAAGAGCCTACTAGAAAAAGGCAGTCAGTGGCTACGGTTGGGCTAGTGTCATCTGAGGAATCACAGGGCAAGTGGTGATGGGGCGGTGGCTACTGAGGCTGACCTTCCTTTTGGATGAGGTTATGAAACACAGGATTTAGTGGTGGGACATGCTATTCTGTGTAGACAAGTCACTGGCTTGCATGGGAAACTCTGGTTGGAGTATTTCTCAGGGACTCCAGGAGAACAGATGCCATTCAGTGCTGTCAGGGGTGTGCTGAGTATGGGAAGTTCAGTTACATTTCAGAGTTGACAGCTGACTCAAAACTCTGGGTGAGTAAGGGCCCATGTGGACAGGGCGGCTCCCTGTAAAGTCCTATTGACCCCTCATTTCTTCAGTCTTCAGCCTCTCCCTATTTTCTTCCTGCATCTTTAGGACCCCAGATATTCCTGGGCAGGAAGGGAAAAGCCATTTGCAGAGGTCAGAGGGGGCACTGACTCCATGGAGCTGGGAGGTGGCCGGGGTGGCAGCAGGACAGGGCTCATTCCCAAATGGCTGGCCTCTCTAGGGGAAGCAGACAATGGAGAAGCTCAATTTGGGCGCCCAGTTCTTGGACCTCTGCTCCTCTGTGGCCATATAACTGTCTCATCCAGACTCTCACCGAGGCTCCTGACTTCAAATGCAATCTATCCACTGATGACTCTCAAGTTTTTCCTCCAGCTCGAACCTTCTCTCCCCATACTCCAGTCAGAAATACCCAATTCAATACCTACACTTAGATTTCTAACAGATTTTGTGATCTCCCCCCCAAAAAAGAACTTTCATCTCTCCAAGATGTGAGGACAATTCCATTTTTCCAGGGACTTGCGTTAAAAACTGGATGTTACCTTGACTGTTCTTTTTCTGTCTCTCAGTTCTTCACTCAGTGTGTCTAGATCACCATGCCCAACTCCTACTACCTTGACCCAGTCACCTTCTTCCCTGGCCTGCATTGATGCAGTAGTGTCTTTTTTTTTTTTATTTAAAGATTTTATTTATTTGACAGAGAGAGCACAAGCAGAAGGAGAGAGAGGGAGGGAGAAGCAGGCTCCCTGCTGAGCAAGGAGCCCGATGTGGGACTCGATCCCAGGACCCTGGGATCATGACCTGGGCCGAAGGCAGCCGCTTAACTGACTGAGCCACCTAGGTGCCCCGATGCAGTAGTGTCTTATCTGTTGTCCTTACTTCCATTCCTGCTACCCTGTAGGTCTGATCCTTTGTAAAGGTTGTCAAATAATGTCCTTCTACTGCTTGGAACCCTTCGATGGCTTCCTATCTCTCTCAGAAAACCAAAGTTTTCACAAGGACTTACAAGTTCTTTTTTTTAAAGATTTTATTTATTTATTTATTTGACACAGACAGAGCGAGAGCACACAAGCAGGGGGAGCTGCAGGCAGAGGGAGAGGGAGAAGTAGGCTCCCCACTGAGCAAGGAGTCTGATGCCTCCCAGGATGCTGGGATCATGACCTGAGCTGAGGGCAGATGCTTAATGACTGAGCCACCCAGGCGCCCCCGAAGGCAGACTCTTAACCGACTGAGCCACCCAGGCAACCTGGATTTACAAGTTCTATGTGGTTTTGTTGCTTTCCTTCTCTCTCTGACCTCAACTTCTCTTTCCTTCATTCACCCCACTCCAGCCACATGTGCCTCCTTCTGCTTCTGAAACACCTGAGCATGTTCGCAGGGGAAGTTTCCAGTTGTTCTTCCCTTTGCCTGAACACTTTCCCCCCAGACATCTAATTGGCTGACTTCCTCACCTTCTTCAGGTGTTTGCTCAAAAAGTCACCTCACTAGTCATTTCCCCTGGCCATTCTATTCAAAATTGCAAGCCTGGGGCGCCTGGGTGGCTCCGTGGGTTAAGCGGCTGCCTTCCGCTCTCAGGTCATGATCCCAGGGTCCTGGGACCAAGCCCCATATTGGGCTCCCTGCTCAGGGGGGAGCCTGCTTCTCCCCCTCCCTCTGCCTCTCTCCCTTGATCCTGCTCTCTCTCTCTCTCGCTCATGCTCTCTCAAATAAAATCTTAAAAAAAAAAATTGCAACCACGATTCCCATCACCCTTTCTAGCTTTCCTTTTGTCAGTAGCACCTACCAGCCTCTGACCCCCCCCCAAATATATTTTATTTATCACTTTGTATCCTCAACACCTGGAGCACGACCTGGGATGTGGAAGGTGCTGAATGAATGAATGGACGAAGGAAGCTAGCCGGGGCATGGGGAGCTCGGCCTCTTTCCCGCAGTCACTTCCAGTCATAGGCTGGCCGACCAAGTGGCCGACCTGTTGCAGGGAGAGACAAGCTAAGGCCCTAGAGCTGCAGATGCTGCCAAGGTCGCCCCGAGGGCGCGGACCGGGGGGGGGGGGGGGGGGGGGGGGCGGGGCGGGGCAGACGCTGCGCCTGCGCCATAAAGGCCGCTGCGCGCACCCGGTCTCCGCTAGCTGCGCGCCGCCCACCTTCTCTTCCTGCTCCAAGCTCGTCCAAGCCTGTGTACCCCGCTGCTGTCGCCATGGCCGCGCTCACCCAGAATCCGCAGTTCCAGAAGCTGCAGAAATGGTACCGCGAGCACGGCTCTGACCTCAACTTGCGTCGCCTTTTCGAGGGGGACAAGGAACGCTTCAGCCACTTCAGGTGCGCGCGCGGGGCCACAGGCGGGGCGCGGACGGGCGGGAGCTGGATCCGGGCGCACGGGGTCAGGTGTGCAGGCCCGGGGTCGGCACGGCGCGGCCGGCGGTCCTCGGCGGGGGTCCTCGGCCGCCCCCGGCCACGGATCGGGGCCCAGGCCTCCGTTCGTCCTTGACGCCTCCTTGAAGGAGGTTCCTGGGGGGCTCGCGGGCTCGCCGGAGGTCTCGGAACCCGCGCTGCTTAGTCATGAGAAGCCGGCTCCTCCGCGGCGGAGTCTCTCTGCAGGAGCATCTCTCTCTCCACCTCTTGTCGCCCCCCCCCGCCCCCGTCCTCCCAGCCCCTGCCATTTGAGAAGGGACTCTTTCCGCAGTTGTGGGCAGGGGCCCTCGCTGACGCAGCAGGCGGGGAAAGGGCTGTCGCCTTCCCCCGGCTCCTGGCCCCGAGCGGGTGGGGACGTCCGCGGGGTGCGATCAGGCTGCGCAGGCCTGGGGGATTTGCAGGGAGCCGTGGGGGAAGGGTGGAGATGAGGGGGCATGATTTCTGCGAAAGAGGCTCGGTGTGGAGCCCTGTGAGCGACCAGGAAATGGAAAGGAGTCTGTTGGAGGAAATCTTGGTGGGGGCAGGAATCTCGGGGTGCTCTGGTGACTGGTGAGGGTGTGTTGGGGAGGGGGCGTCTGTGGCTCCGGACAGGAAGTCCCCATGGCCAGCCCTGCCTTCTGAGTCCTTCCTGAGAGAGTCGCAGCGTGGAGGCTCTAGGAGGGAATGGTCACTCCCCTGGCTAGGCAGGGGCTGTGCACCCAGCTGTTTGTCTTGGCTGGTTTAGCAGAGGAATGGCTCCTCAGGAGGGGTCTGCACCTCCCTTTTGCGAGGATGGTCCCTTTCACTATGCTGCTGCTGCTGGTGGGCAGACAGGTGACAGACACCACCACTGTGCTGGGCAGTTGAGGCTTGTTTGGGGTGTGGCTCAGGGAGGATGGTTTTTTCTGAATGCAGCTCTGGTCAGGGAATAGGCAGGGGAGAACCGGGGTGTGGCCATTGGCTTCTGCCATCTTTTTGCAGCTTGAACCTGAACACCAACCATGGGCATATTCTGGTGGATTACTCAAAGAACCTTGTGACCGAAACTGTGATGCAGATGCTGGTGGACCTGGTAATGTTCTGCTGTGGGGGGCTTGACCTGTGACCCACGGCTTGGCAAGCGAGCTGGGCTCCTGGGAGCCCCCAGGGTCCTTGAGCAGCTTTATTTCCTTCTCTCGGTGGACCTCGGTCACTGCCTCTGTGCCAACGTAGGGCTCTGAGCTCCTGCCCCCTGGCTCAGGTTCTGAGCAGCATCCCAGGGGACCCAGGGCAGACCCTTTGCAGGCAGCGGGGGAGGGCAGCAGGCTGCAGCCATCTGTCAGCTCCACTGGGGGCTGCATCAAGCCCAGAGCTTGTGGCCTGTGCCCTTGGTCGCCTGTGTGGATGGGGTCAGGCCTTAGCATCTTCTCTTCTCAGGCCAAGTCCAGGGGTGTGGAGGCTGCCCGGGAGCACATGTTCAGCGGCGAGAAGATCAACTTCACAGAGGTGAGCTGGCCTGTGGACGGCAGACGCTGCCTACCCTTCAGGGCCTCTTCCTTCCCTTTGGGGTTCATCTGACTGACAGCATCACACTGTGTCTTCATTTCTCCTCTTAAGCAACGTTTTTGCTTAACGAGGGGCATGAAAGCCTGTTTCCTAGGGTGGGTTGCAGGGCCGTGGGGTGCATCCTCCCCGGGACTGGCCGTCTCGATCTGGTGAGCGTGGAATGGCTCCCAGTGTCTACCTGGGGAGAGCATGTCTCAGGCCTGCAGGAAGATGGCTTCTTAGAAAACTTATCTCTGGGCTATCTTTGCTGCATGGTTTTTTTTTTAGTGAAAAGAGAAATCTTAGGACATAAGCTCAGGTTCCTCTGTGGTATGAGTCAGTAAGAAGCAGCGATGAGGCCAGGGCTTGGGGGCCCTGTTCCTGAATTGCTGTGGCAGCCTGGAGGCATAATAATCACTGGGTGCTCGGAGTCTCTTCCTCACAGGGTTAGCATCCTCTTTTTACGCCCCAGGAAGCTGAGGTTCAGAGGGCAAATCACTTACCCGAGACATCATATCTGTAAGAGACAGAGGTTTCAAACTCCACTTGTCTCGCCGCTGGGCTAGGCTGAGGGAGGCTGCAGTCACGGAGGGCTTCCTGGAGGAGTGCATTTTCCTATGGAATGGGGGACAGGAGTGAGGTTGGGCAGAGTGAGGGCAGAGTGGCATGAAGGTCTCCACCTTAGTGGGCCTTTCCTTGATTTGGAGTCCAGCGACCATCCCTTTCCTGCCCACCTGGAGTCTTTAGATCTGTCTCCTTCAAGGGCTCCTCTCCCGGCTTCAGCTTGATAGGACTGTTGCTCTCACATGACAAGGCCAGCTTCTTGGCACCTGTCACAGGCCTACAGTTGCGTTTGGTTTCTGGCAGTTAGCATGATGGGGCTGCTTGGTGAGGGCCGTTCGAGTTGCCTGCTTTGCTCCACATCCAGGGGGGTGGGCGTACTTTTTAGAAGGGGCCAGCAAAGACACCATGTACTCTCAGGGAGACAATGAGACCAGCCTTAATGAACCCTGGTCCTCTGAAGCTGTTTATTGCTGTGTTGTCCCCATTCTCTGCCTTTGCTCACTCTGTTCCTCTTTCCCTGCCCTGAACAGCTAGGAGTCCTCTGGGCTTGTCCTGGGCTTCTCCTGGTCTCCCTCCCCTTGTGACTGTCAGTAGACCTCGGGGGTGCGTGTCCAGTGGAGTGAGGGCCATGTTGCACCAGGCCCTCACTGCCCCGGCAGGCGTGGCTGCCCTGGGGTGGGGGTCTTCACGTACTGACTGTCGTCCCCAGGATCGGGCGGTGCTGCACGTGGCCTTGCGGAACCGGGCAAACACACCCATTCTGGTAGATGGCAAGGATGTGATGCCAGAGGTCAACAGGGTCCTCGAGAAGATGAAGTCTTTCTGCCAGGTAGGCTGCTGCTGTGCTGGACATGCCCTTGGCCGCGCATGTGGGCATGGGTCTGGGAATCTGGGGGCCTTGCTTGGAGAGGACCCATGGCCTCACTGCAGCCTGAGGTGGAGGCGGTCTGCGGGATCACCCCGTGTTCTGAGGGAATTTCCCTGCCCCTGTGGTGAGGGAACCTACCGCGGGCGGCCACAGAGCAGCCTCTTCGCCGAACTCCAGACACCTGTGGGCTCACGGTGACCATCCGGCCAGGGCGGAGATCCGAAAAGAAACGCGAGGCCCCTGAGAGGTGGGGTAGTAGGGGAGAGACTTGTTTGTTCTAATCTCTTTAGCGATATGCCTTCCTTTTCTAGGCTGAAACTAGATAAAATCAACGTGTTAACATTTGCTTGGCGTTAACATTTGCTTGGCCGTACCCCCAGCCAGCTCTCCAGAAGCAGCGTTTATAGGGTTTCCTGTGAGATCTTCTGAAAGCTTCCTGTGCGTGTGCTATGTGTGTACATCTGCGTTCTCCTCTTTGAAACACGTGTGCACATGCATTCACACACACGGGTTCATTTTTACTTACTCTTCTGCAGCCTATTTGTACTTATAAATAAGTAAAAAATGTCCCTGGGTCCACGTTGGTGCTCATAACCGTGCCCCCTTTTTCCTGTTGGGGGGTAGTGGTGTAGGGATTGCCTCAGAGACCAGCTAGCGATTTCCCCATGTCAACCACTGTTACCTCAGTGTCTATCCCAGGGGTGATTCTGCAAGGGTTAGGGGCCGTTCTCAAGCCTGGGGTACAGGGGTGATGTGTGTGCATGTGCACATTGTACGTATGGGCTATGCATGCTCTGGGAGTGATAATCTGGGCTCTGGGCCGCTTGTCCCTGGAACCAGCGGCCCCTGCCGGTGGCTGGTCCAAGTCTGGTTGCTTTGGCTCAGAGCCACTTCAGACCTCAGATGGCAGAAGTGATCTGGACATCAATCCTGGAGGCCTGATAGCCAAGTGAGTGGGACTTCCGCGGGTGAGGAAGGGTTGGCAGCCCGGTGGGAATTTGGATTCCAGAATGTCCCTTAACGCTGGTCAGTACCTGTGTACCGGACGCAGGGAAGGGCCTTCCCAGCCATTGGTGGCGAGTGGTGGAGCTGACGTGCATCAGAAGCTCATCGAACGTGTGCATGCTCAGGTCGGCTGTGTGGAGAGCATGGTCCTGGCTGTCTGGGAAGCTATTTCCAGGAAAGCCCGCCCTTATGGCTGGTTGCAGGATATCTGACTCAGGCGAATGGGGTATTTATAGTTCAAAAAATGCTACTGAGTGGCAGCAGTTACACGTAAGGAACACTCCCCAATGGCTGTGCTCTTAGAAGTTCACCAAGGTTGGGCTGAGGATGTTCACCATGATCTTGTCTATAGTGGTAGAAATCAAAAACAACCTGAGCTTGGGGCGCCTGGCTGGCTCAGTCAGTGGAGCGTGTGACTCTTGATCTCGGTCATGAGTTCGAGCCCCACGTCGGGTGTAGAGATGACTTAAACATAAAATCTTTAAAAAAATTTTATTTAAGGGCGCCTGGGTGGCTCAGTTGGTTAAGCGACTGCCTTCAGCTCAGGTCATGATCCTGGAGTCCCGGGATCGAGTCCCGCATCGGGTTCCCTGCTCAGCAGGGAGTCTGCTTCTCCCTCTGACCCAACCCCCTCTCATGCTCTCTCTCTCTCTCTCATTCTCTCTCTCAAATAAATAAAATCTTAAAAAAAATTTTATTTAAAAATGAAACGGGGGGCGCCTGGGTGGCTCAGTTGTTAGGCGTCTGCCTTCGGCTCAGGTCATGATCCCGGGGTCCTGGGATCGAGCCCCGCATTGGGCTCCCTGCTCGGCGGGAAGCCTGCTTCTCCCTCTTCCACTCCCCCTGCTTGTGTTCCCTCTCTTGCACTGTCTCTCTCTCTGTCAAACAAATAAAATTAAAAAATAAAATTAAAATTAAACACACAACTCGAGCCCATTTATCAGAGGACTGATTAGTGACATCAGCATATGTTCATACAGTGTAGTCCCAGGCACCGGCAGGTATGAGGGAGCTATGGTTACATTGAGCTGCCACACTGTGCAGGTTGTGCTATCAAGTTGAAAGTGGAAGTTGCCGAACGGGCACGTGTCGTAAAATGCCATCCGGTCAAATAAAGGGTGTGTGTAATCCTATTAAAGACCTACAGTTTTCTTCTCTGGGATGCTTTATTGTACCAAAACTTTAATGGTGAGGTTAAGGGTTGAGAAGCTGAGCAACTTTAATTCTGTATTGATGGAAAATTTCTCATGGCGATTGATTGCCTTATATATAAAAAACAAACAAAAAACGTTGCTGGCTGTTACTGGTTTTGGAAAAGATCTATTTACTGGTTTTCTATTGACGTGTAATAAATGGTTCCAAAACTTAGCGTCTGTCAACAAAAGTCAACATTCCTGTGGATCAGGATTGGCCGTGGCTGTGCAGGCTGGTTCTGGTCTCCTAAGGTTGTAGACAAGATGTTGGCCAAAGTTAGCTCTCCCCTGAAGGCTTGATGGATGGAGCCCGGAGTATCCGCTTCTAGGATGACTCACTAGCAATTACTGCTGGCTTTTGGGAGGCTTTAGTTCCTTACCTTGTGGACCTCTCTACAGGCTGAGTGTCCTCATCACAAGACAGCTGATTTCCTCAAATGAGTGATCCAAAAGAGCTTAGCAAGGCAGAGTGCCTCAAGGTCCCTTATTACCTTGAACTAGCATCAGAAATTACATCTGTCGTTTCTGTAATACCCTGTTGGTTGTACAGGTCACCTCTGATCAAAGTAGGAGGGGACAGCACAAGGACATGAATGCAATACCGAGAGGTGAGGACCATTGGGAACCATCTTGGAAGTTGGCTACATAGTCTGCCTTCAGGCTCCCAGTGATTCATGTTCCTTCCACATGGAGAATACCCTCCTCACCTTCTCCTAAGGCCATATCCCATTACAGTATCAGCCAGAAGTCAAGAGCCTCATCACGTAAATTAGGTACAAAATAGTAGTTCTGCATTTCTTTTATTTTTATTTTTTTAAGATTTTGTTTATTTATTTGACAGAGAGAGAGAGCGAGAGAGGGAACACAAGCAGGGGGAGTGGGAGAGGGAGAAGCAGGCTCCCCGCCGAGCAGGGAGCCCGATGCGGGGCTTGATCCCAGGACCTGAGATAATGACCTGAGCCGAAGGCAGACGCTTAACGACTGAGCCACCCAGGCGCCCCAGAAGCCTCATCTTTGACCAAAATGTTTTCTGTGTTACCACCTTAGGTCTTTCAGAGGTGCAAGGAAAGGAAGGTTTTACAGCTACATCCTCTGCTTCCCCTTCATACTTTGCTTTTTGTTATAGCTTCCTGTGTTTGATCTTTGCCAAGAAGCTATCTTTTAATTTTAGCATCTCTTGTTGCCTAAAGAAGCTGGGAATTTCTAAACCCAACAATTCCTGGCTTTTTTTTTTTTTTTTAAAGATTTTTTATTTATTTGAGAGACAACGTGAGCACAAATTGGGGGGAGGGGCAGAGGGAGAAGCAGACTCCCCGCTGAGCAGGGGAGGGAGCATGAGAGGGAGGAGAAGCGAGGGAGAGAGAAGAGCAGACTCCCCACTGAATGCAAAGCTGGAAGCCGGGCTCAATCCCAGGACCCTGGGATCATGACCTGCGCTAAAGACAGACGCTTAACCGACTGAGCCATCTAAGCGCCCCTCTGACTTTGTTTGTTTGTTTGCTTGAAAGTTCTTCCTTTATTTCTCTTTTCTTGCATTTTATTGTAAGCACCAGGAAACCAGGCCGTTCCTTTAACATGACTGACGGGTTATTGTATCCCAGTGGGTGCAGAGGTCGGCCTTATTCAGCTTGGGGGTGCTATACGGAGGGGAAAATATGCCAGGAGACAGGAATCGGTGGGGGGGGTCCATGTAGGGGCTGGCTGCATGTCTGATAGCCCTGTCCCTGGCACAGACCAGTCCCAGTAGTTGGCCTTTCACATTTCTTGGTCTCTTATACGTTAGGTTCTGCTGAGAGTTCGCCTTTGTTTTGCAAATTCTGAGAGGTGGGGGTGTCCCCCACTTTGCTAATGATGAAATGGGGTCTAACTGGGGGTGAGCGCGGCAGGGAGCTGCCGGTGTGGTCTCAGGAGGCCCCTGCGAACACTTGGACGTTGGGCCTGAGGTGCGAGGGTGCTTTTGAGCGATGGTTTATCCTGGGGGTTTTGGGCTGAACGCATGCCCCCCCCGCTCTGTTTCAGCGAGTCCGGAGTGGTGACTGGAAGGGGTACTCGGGCAAGCCCATCACGGACGTCATTAACATCGGCATTGGCGGCTCTGACCTGGTGAGGAGGATTCCCTGGGGATGGGGTGAGGGGGCCCACCCAGAGCCTTGGTTTTTCCAGGGTAAGACCTGGCTTCCCCATCTCTGTGGGCCCTGGAATCTTGTTTTCTGATGTGGCGGCTCCCCATAGGGACCCCTCATGGTGACTGAAGCCCTTAAGCCGTACTCTTCAGGAGGTCCCCGGGTCTGGTTTGTCTCCAACATCGACGGGACCCACATCTCCAAAACTCTGGCCACTCTGAACCCTGAGTCGTCCCTGTTCATCATTGCCTCCAAGGTATGGGCCTTGGTCCTGGCCTGGCTCCCCAGCCTTGGGTGGGATGGGGGGGGCGCTGGGTGGATGCTTTGCCGCTATCCCCGGGCTCACTGTGCTCTGTGGATCAATCGGGCCAGCCCCGCTGCCCTCAGACTGTTCCTTGGCAGGTGGCAAACACAGTTCCCTGATGGAAGCCTGAACTAGTCAGTTAGAACCTTCATTTTAAGGCCACATCCATTTGCTTTCTGGGATCTGTGCCCAGCCTGGGGCTGTTCTTGTCTGAGACCTCTGTGCTTAATGTCTGCTCCTTTCTGATCGCAGAGCCATGCCCAGATAACGTAAGGGTTTTGTTTGTTGTCATTTACGCCCTGTTTACTCACATTGGTGCACATAACATGTTAAGAATTCCATCTGAATTCTGAGATCATAGCCTAGCCTGCGCTGAAGGGGGGAGCCCCAAGGGTGGCCACAGCCCCTTTCCTGGCAGATGCTCTGGCCTTTGACCTGTGGTGGAGGAATGGGCCGCTGGTCGGGGTTGTGGCTTTTACTAGGATTCCTCTTCCTCTGCTTGTGAAGTCCTGGAATCCCAGGATGGTGGTACTACTCCTTCCAGGCCCGTACCCCAGACACAGCCACTCACTGTGGCTCTGTGGACAGGTGGGTAGAGGTTATGTGGGGTGACTGTCACTGCTCATGGGCACCCCCATGGCCTCTGCCACTGGGCCCTGGCTCTAGGCCACACCGAGTCCGAGCTGGGACTGACTGCTATATTTTCTGGCCGCAGACCTTTACCACCCAGGAGACCATTACGAATGCGGAGACGGCGAAGGAGTGGTTTCTCCTGTCGGCCAAGGAAGTGAGTGCTGGGGTGGGTGGTGGGCAGTGCGTGTGCTGGGAAGTACAGGGTGGGCCGGCCCACCCACCTGAGTGGCCAAGCCTAATGCTGTTGCCCTGTTTCTCCCAAAGTTGGCAGCATGAGGCAGCCTCTCTTGGTGCCTGCTTTTTTCAGTTTAGGCATTTGGCTTTGCCAGTCCCAGACAAGTCAGATGTGCCAGAACCTGCTCAAACTAGCTGAAGGCACTTCAAGGTCCCTTGGCCCGGGGAGGATCCTCTCTACCCCCGGCCACACCCACTTCACAGGGGAGGGAACCTGGGCCTTGTGTGCCTGTGAGGTAGGATGGGCCTCTGCCTCTTTTGTCCTCTTGACCTTGACATGGGGCTCCTCTAACAGCCTTAGAGCCAAGGACTGGGAATAATCAGTGCCACCCAGGGCCTTGGTTTCTCCAGAGATGGGAGGCTCACTACCCTCGGGTGGCCCCCTGGGATGGGTTTGGTGTAACTTGGCTCTGTCTCTTGTAGCCTTCTGCAGTTGCGAAGCACTTTGTTGCCCTGTCTACCAACACGGTGAGTGCCCATGTGGGCTCCCAGACGTCCTGGTCACGTCAAGGTCACGGCCTATCAGAATATTCAAGTTGAGTTGTGGTTCGCAGGTCTGGGGATCTTGGCCCCGCTGAGGGGATAGAGGGGCCGGCCGCCTGTGAGGGATGTGTGAGCTGCAAACGGTCCCTTTTGCATCCTCCCATCAAATCTCTGTAGCTCCAAAGAGGGATCCGGTTGGCTGCGTCCACCTCCCAGGCCTGACTGATACCCAGAACACACATATCCACACACATGACCTCCTTTGGCCTCTACCAGCCTGCCCCTGGCCTCTCCCCGCATGGGATGTGTGGGGTAGGGGTGGGGGGACATCCCATTTCTCACATCAGGAGGTGAAGCCCCGCTGAAGGATTTTTTGCCAGGTGACCGCATGAGTCAGTGGAGCTGGGAGGAGAACGCGGTCCCCTGCCAGCCAGTTGTCCTGGTCCTCCTGGCCTGAGGCTGCATGAGGTGTGGGGTGGGGTTGTGGGGCGGGGCCGAGCTGTGCGCCCGGGGTAACAAACCAGGTGAGCACTTGCTGTGTGGTGGGCTTTGTACGGGGCTGTGTCAGAACTGGAACCACTCTCAGGTTGTCCCGACCACTCCCTCCCCCATCCTCTGCCCCTCTTGTCCAACCCCCACCCCTGCCTCCAGTACTGACCTGCCCAGGGAGGGGAGACAGGAGGACGTCTTAAGGCGTCTCCTCCTTAGGGACGGCATAAGGGGTCGCTGACCCTGTCTGCCCAGGAGACAGGGCACCCGAGGGGTAGGATCGGTTATCTCCTGAAGGCTTCCTGGGGCAGAGTCCCCATCTCTGCTATTGGAAGGGTTGGACAGGTGTCCTGGCTGGGTGACACCTGGCCTGGGAGGTGGCCCACCCTCTGCTCGGGCTCCAGTCTTGGGCTTAGTTTCCCATATGTCCTGCATGGGTCAGTGTCTGTACCCCGATAGGTGCAAGCGGTGGCTCTCGCAGGGCAGTGTGAGGGGCTTCACAGGCACCAGGCCGCGGGTGTTGCTGGATGGGAGCTGGCCTTGTGTCCGGTTCTGGGGGTGGCCGCTGCCGGTTCCTGCCTTGGACTGACAGGCCGCTCCATCCCCACCCCGTCCATCTGCAGCGTGGACAGCGTGACGCCTGGCACCCTAGAGCTCCTGTTCTCATCCAGCTAACGTAGGTTTTCTTCCTTCTCTTCCTTTGCCCCTTTTTAGACCAAAGTGAAGGAGTTTGGGATTGACCCTCAAAACATGTTCGAGTTCTGGGATGTAAGTAAAGGCACTTCCTTGCGCTGGGTGAATTATGTGTCCTGGGTCAAGGCATGACCACCGTGCCACAGATGAGGGGCCTGTGAGGTCAGGTCAACCTTTGTTGAGCACCTGCTGCATGCCTGGCTTTGGGAAGGGCTGAGAGGCCCTCAGGGAGGCTTGTGGGGCAGGACCAGCCCTGTCGGGAGGGGGACTCCACTTCCAGCGGGGCGAGCTGAGCTTGCAGGCCCGGCCAACACTACCCGGGGTGTCTGCCAGCAGCACCCCCCGGGGCGGGGGGCGGTAACTGGAGCCACCCCTCCCCCCTTCACTAAACTGAGGTTGTGAGTTATTCTCAGTGATGGCCTTTCTCCGAACTTGCAGCTGCCGTCTCTAAAGGCCACAGGGCAGGGTGAGGCAGGAGGTGTGACTGGGCAGGCCCGGTCAGGAGGTACGGGAACAGCTGCAAGGTGCAGAGAGGAGGCGCCGGGCCTGGGGCCTGCCTGGGTGCTTGTCAGACAGCTTGCAGAGCAAACCGCGCCTGAGAGGCCGAGCTGGGGCCAGTCTAACTGTGGGGGGGGGGGGCAGGGGGCCTTGTCACAGACTCATCTCTGCTACAGCCACAGCTGGTGTCAGGCAGCGAGTGGGACCTTGTCTTGCGGCTGGCCCTGGAAAAAGGGCTCCGGCTGTGTGGGTGCTGGGAACGCAGGGGGCGCTGTTCTAACACGTGACTGGGGCAGGCGCACCAGGGAGGCCATTGTCCAGTTGGGGGTTTTCCCATTGGGGCTGTTTCCAGGCCTTTAGACTGGAAGCTGTTTGCTTGGTGGCAGCATCCACAGATGGAATCTCCTTTGAAAACACTAAAGGCCTTGGAGTCTGGGAGAACATTAAGCCCTAAATGTCCTGAGGCATCTGTTGTGTGTAATGAGTTAACTTCTTTCTAGAATGGGACTAATTATGTACCATCCTTGGAAGAATCGAGAAGTCACTCAAATCATTTTCTGCATCCTGTGGCTCAGATGAGGAACCCCGGTCGACAGAGATCGGGCAGCTTCTAACAAATGTTGCATGTCTGATAAAGTAGGGGAGGCACCTGCTACCTCTTCTCTGGGATCTGGAGCCTCAACAGGTGGTGGTCAGGAACAAGAGGGTCTCCTGCTAGGCAAAACCCTGTGTGGGTTTTCTCACTGCCCATAACTGCCTAGCATGTAGAGGTGATGGGGAGGGGGGCAGCTTAGGGCGACGCCCAGGCCTCCCAGGTAAGGCCTGGGAATGACCGTTGGGTACATGAATGTGGGGCTGGGGCTGGATAGTGAGGCCTGAGTGGCCGAGGTGGGCACAATGAAGGCCTCCTGGGCCAGGCCAGACAAACCACATACACAGTGGCTGGAAGAGGGACCTGAGGATGTATATTGTTTTGAATCAAGAAGGTGACATCTGAGAAGCCTGGGACAGGTGAAATTTCTGGAGCTAGTATCTCTTAGGCGAGATGGAGGGTCAGGACAGACAGGGATATTGTGCTGGCTCTGAGGTAAGATCAGAAGAGGCCAGTCTGGTAGGGGGACATACAAGTGGTGAGGCCTGGTTAGTTAGAGTCAGTCATGGGGTAGCTTCGTGTCGGGATCAGGCAGTAATAATAATTTAGTAGTAAATTATGGGGTTTCTCAGGGCTCAGCCAGAGTTAGCACACATTGGAGAGCTGACTTTGGATGGTGGGGTCTGAAGAGGAGGCAGGATAGGTACAGGTGAGTTCTGAGGAGGAGCCAGGACAGGTAAAGGTACTGATGATGTCTATGAATTCTGGAAGACACAGGTATTTTGAGATGGTTCTATGAAATAAGGTCTGAGGAGCCAGAGTCACATACAGGTATTTTAACCTGGATCTGTGAGTTGAAGTCCCTGGCATGGGACAGGTGTATACACTGGGGTCTGTCCGACTGGTTCTGCAAAGTGAGTGTCAGGTAATGGGTGTCTGATAATTTAAATGAGGTGATTAAAACTCAGAATTAGGCAAACCTAGGTAGTCCCCCGAGCCACGTCAGCTACCTGGCTCTTGGCATCCTGACCAGGTGTGATAAGCAGAGTTCAGGGGTTGCAGAGGCCTCTGAGGACCTACAACCAGCCCAAGGTTCTGGCACTGGGTTCTGGCTGGGGTGGGGCTCAAGGGGCCCAGATGAGTAAAAGGTAGGAATACACTGAGTTATAAAAGGTAAAGACTGGGGAGTTGGGGCAGGTGAAGAACAGACAGGAGCTACATTGGTAAGGTGTAGTCCGAGGGGCCTGTGGTAGATAAAGGCCTAGAGAACCATGTCTACAGGGTGAGATGTCTGAGGCCCAAGTCCCTCAGACACCAAGGCGCTCTCACCAGTTTTCCCTCAGGTTGAGGTAAGCAGCTAGGAGCAGTCTGGTCTGAGGGAAGTGTCCATTCAAGTTAGGTTTGTACAGTGGAGTCTGCCGGGGGGGGGAGGGTGCTGCAGAACCTCGTCCGCCTGAGGTCACAGGAGCTGGAATCAGACAAGGTCTGTATAACTAGGTTTCTTAGGGAGGCCTGAGGAGCCAAGATGAGGTGCATATAGGTAGAAATGGGTTGCTCAGGTAAGGACACCAGAGCCGAAGAAGGGCAGACATAGCTGAGTCTGACAGGTAAGAACTAGAAATCCATCATTGGTTCCAGGTGAGAACTGTGCCCTCAGGTGATATCTAGCGGTTCTGGTGATGTGCAGGTTGATGATCCTGGAGGTGGTCCTGGGTCCTCTGGGGAAAGACAAAAGCTAGAGTCAGGCAGAGGGATGGGGAACTGCATGTATCCGGAAGGTGTATCAGTCCTGGGTCTGGCTCAGGTTTGTCAGGTGGGGCTTGAGAGGGGAGGTGAGATTCAGGTTTGTACTTTTGGATCTTGAATAGGTAAGGTCTGAATTGCTGAGGTTGGGTCCTGGTTTGTATTCTGAACCTGAGGAGTTGGGGCCAAGCGTAGGTGGGTAGAGCTGAGTTTTTCAGGTAACATCTGTGAAACCAAGGGTGAGCAGAGGTAGGTTGACTTGAAGAGCCATGGTTAGGTTCACTTCTGTCTCGCCGTTGAGTTTAGTTGTAGGTAGGTAGACCAGATCTGTCAGGTAAGGCCTAAGGAGGCCCTGTAAGGCTTATCTAGAAAGAACTCTATCTCTTAGATAATATCTGAGGTAATGAAGTGACATCAGGAGGATAGGGCTTGGTCTCTCAGGTGAGAGCTCAGGAGCCAGGATTGAGTGCAAGTGCCTAGATCTGGATCTCCTAGGTTAAGGTCAAGGTAGGCAGACAGAACTGCACCTGTACCTCTGCGTATCTTGTAGAGCTGTCTTGCAAGGCTGATGAGTTGTGGTCAGGTACAGATGTGTGGAATTGAGTTTCTCAGGTAAGGTCTGCAGAGTCTGTATCTGGCACGGGTTTGTATCCTCGGTACTGTCCATATGAGTTAAGCACAGGTGCGTACAGCAGGGTTTGTCAGGTAAGGTCTATGCCGCCAAGATCAGGGCAGGTTTATTTATTTTTTTTTAAGATTTTATTTACTCATTTGAGATAGAGAGCATGAGCAGGGGGAGAGGCAGAGGGAGAGGGAGAAGCAGGCTCCCTGCTGAGCCAGGAGCCAGATGTGGAGCTCGATCCCAGGACCCTGGGATCATGACCTGAGCTGAAGGCAGATGCTTAACCATCTGAGCCACCCAGGTGCCCCGAGGGCAGGTTCATAATACTTGGTCTGTCCAGTGAGATCTAAAAAATCACATTGAGTCCAGGTAAGAGCCGAATGTCATAGATGTAAGCAACTGAGAGGAGGTCCAGGTAAGCAGAGCTAGCCCGCTACGTAGTGTCAGGAGCCACGAGCAAGCACAGGTAGGTAGATCTGGCCTGCCAGGTGAGGTCCGAGGACCCAGGGTCCAGCACAGGTAGGCAGAACTGGCCCACCAGGTGAGGTCTGAGGAACCAGGATCAAGCACAGGCAGGTAGAGCTGGCCCGCCAGATATGGTCTGAGGAGCTAGGGTCAAGCACAGGTAGGTAGAACTGGCTCACCAGATAAGGTCTGAAGAGCCAAGGTCAAGCACGGGTAGGTAGAACTGGCCTGCCAGGTAAGGTCTGAGGAGCTAGGGTCAAGCACAGGTAGGTAGAACTGGCCCACCAGGTATGGTCTGAGGAGCTAGGGTCAAGCACAGGTAGGTAGAACTGGCTCACCAGATAAAGTCTGAAGAGCCAAGGTCAAGTACAGGTCAGTAGACCTGCAGGTATGGTTGGAGGAGCCAAGGTCCAGCACATGTAGGCAGAACTGGCCCACCAGGTGAGGTGTGAGGAGCTAGAGCCAAGCACAGGTAGGTAGAATTGGCCCACCAGGTATGGTCTGAGGAGCTAGGGTCAAGCACAGGTAGGTAGAACTGGCTCACCAGATAAGGTCTGAAGAGCCAAGGTCAAGCACAGGTAGGTAGAACTGAACTGCCAGGTACGATCTGAGGGGCAAGGTCAAGCATAGGTAGGTAGAACTAACCTATCAGGTGAAGTCTGAGGAAGTGAAATCAAGCACAGGTAGGCAGATTTGGCTTGCTAGGTGAGGTGTCAGGAACCAGGGTCAAGCACAGGTGGGTAGAACTGGCCCACCAGGTAAGGCCTGAGGAATCAGGGTCAAGCCCAGGTAGGTAGAACTGGCCCACCAGGTATGGTCTGAGGAGCTAGGGTCAAGCACAGGTAGGTAGGTCTGGCCTGCCAGGTGAGGTCTGAGGACCCAGGGTCCAGCACAGGTAGGCAGAACTGGCCCACCAGGTGAGGTCTGAGGAGCCAGGGTCAAGCCCAGGTAGGTAGAACTGGTCCACCAGGTGAGGTCTGAGGAACCAGGATCAAGCACAGCCAGGTAGAGCTCTGGCCCGCCAGGTGAGGTCTGAAGAACCAAGGACAAGCTCAGGTAGAACTGGTCCACCAGGTATGGTCTGAGGAGCTAGGGTCAAGCACAGGTAGGTAGAACTGGCTCACCAGATAAGGTCTGAAGAGCCAAGGTCAAGCA